ACATTGATTAGCTAACACTGGACTTTTTCCTTGTAGGGTCGATATCAACGACGACGATCTGAAGGAGTACGACCTCGAGCACTACGACGATACAGACGAAGAGGACGAGGAAAAGGTCGGCCAGGGCGAGGGCATGGCCATGTTTGGCAACATCAAGTCGCTAGCCTACTACGAATCGAATAAGGATGACCCGTACATCACCCTGCCCGCCAACGGCGGACCGGACGACGACGACGAGGACCGCGAGGACCTGCAGATCCTCGCGACCGACAACCTCCTGCTCGCGGCCAAGGTCGAGGACGAGATGGCCCACCTCGAGGTCTACGTCTACGAGGACGCCGCCGACAACCTCTACGTTCACCACGACATCATGCTGCCCGCGATACCTCTTTGCGTTGAGTGGCTCGACATCCCCGTTCAAAAGGCCGGCGTTGACAAGGACTCGACGGCCAACTTTGTCGCCATCGGCACCATGGACCCCGATATCGAGGTGTGGGATCTCGACACGGTGGACTCCCTGTACCCCAACGCCATCCTCGGCCAGGCCGGCGAGGGCTCAGAAGAGAAGAAGAAGCAAAAGAAGAAGAAGAAGGCCAAGAAGGCCAACGATGAGTACCACGTTGACGCAGTCCTCGCCCTTGCCGCGAACAGGAAACACAGGAACCTGCTGGCCTCCGCCTCCGCAGACAAGACGGTGAAGCTTTGGGACTTGCACACGGCCAAGTGCGCCAAGTCATACACCTACCACACGGACAAGGTGTGCTCTCTCGCGTGGCACTCGGTCGAGTCCACCGTGCTGCTGAGTGGCAGCTACGACAGAACGGTCGTCGCCGCAGACATGAGAGCTCCCGAGGCCAAGGCCCCCAGATGGGGTGTCGAGAGCGATGTCGAGAACATTCGCTGGGACCCCCACGACCCCAACTACTTCTACGTCTCCACGGAAAACGGAATCATCCACTTCAACGATATCCGCAGTGCGCCGTCAACCCCCGAGGCGACCAAGGCCGTGTGGACCTTGCAGGCACACGACGAGTCTGTGTCGTCCTTCGACATCAACCCCATCGTGCCCGGCTTCATGGCCACTGGCTCAACGGACAAGACTGTGAAGCTGTGGAACATCCAGGCCAGCGGTCCCTCCATGGTTGTTTCTCGCAACCTGGATGTTGGCAAGATCTTCTCAACGCAGTTTGCGCCCGATTCCGAGGTGGCTTTCAGACTCGCCGTTGCTGGCAGCCGTGGAACCATGCATGTGTGGGACACTAGCACCAACGCCGCCGTTCGACACGCGTTTGCTGAGCGTGTCCCGCAAAAGCCGGAGGGCGTCGAGGAAGACCGTCTTGTTGGCGTTCTTGACGATGACAGCAGCTCTAGCGAGGATGAAGGAGAGGAGGGCGAGCAGGATGGCGATTCAATGGACGAGGACGAGGACTAGGGTAGACGCTAATCAACATGGATGGTGTGTTGTCGGATGTAGCCTGCTCGCTGTCTGTTCCAAGATCGCCAGGGGAATTTGTCCCGCAGGCTTGGCCAGATAGATCGAAACAGCAGGCCCAAATAGTCTACGGCGCCAGTCCAGAACTTAGAAGGCAGTAGGCCACAAACATCACACTGATGATGACGACTCTGGGCTGGCGCCGTTGAAACCGGTGGAAGGAGACGGCCTGTATCAATCAGGTGGAGAACAGCCTTTCAGTGTAGAAGTTAGTCTCAAGTCGTCCGAAGTTAAATGCCGTCGTCTGAACAGCATGAAGCATGGGCCACGTTAGTTTCGTAGACACATATAGCCAAGACCGTCAAACAATGGGCTCAAACCGGGAGAATTGTTGGTGAGGACCGCATCGTCAGAGACTTATATATGTGAAGTGGCTAAACGTAGGCGGGTGAAACCACGACTGCGTGGCCCCCAAAGGTTGTTCACCAGAATCGACCACTGAGATGGACTGTCAGTGTCGTGATAGGGTGGGAGACTCGCTAATTAAGCATGAACAAAGCGTAGAGGGGGGAGCGGCAACAGCCTGACATCTTCATGCGTACACATGATGAAGGAGGTAGTGGGTCAATATCAGATTTGGGATAAGAGCCAGCCCGGACATTGCTCTAGGTCTGTTCGCAAATGCAATCATTGTTTTTGTCCCCCGAGTGTCCATATTGAGCACGAGCAGACTCAGTCAGCAGAGCGATCGTAGAATGGCGAAAACGTCGCCAGACAACGATGCCAACGTCCTAGATCGTAGACTTGACGTCGCTGAGGGATTTCTCCTAGCTTCTACGGAGTAGACCAAGCGTCTTTGCCTCCCGCAAGCAGCAAGGCGAGAAAAAGGCAGTTCCTGATCGACTGGTTTCCACACCACCACAAAGCGATTCCCCTGGAAGATGCGCAAGGGCAGCAGAGAGTTGTGTGTTGCGGGGGCGGATGGGCGAGTGAAATCGCTGAGCCCAAGTGCGCAAGGAGCGCTGACTGGTGATGGGCCATGAACGTCGACATGGATTCCTGTTCGGCTTGCGCAGGCACGCAAGGCACACGGCGCCACTGGGGTGGGATGGCGCAGGATGAAACAGTGAAACCTCAGGGGGGCCTGCCAACGGGCGAGGATAGTGGACGGAACACACAGCCAATGACGCCTCTGCCTCCGTCTGGTCGAACAGAGTCGAGCTACCGCTGGGGACGGCCGGGAACCACCGGCCACGAGACCTTTCTCGGCTGTTGGGCTTTTTAGTTGACGCTGTCTTGATTCTTGGAGGCGTCGACGCCAATCACTGGTCGAACGGTGAAGAAACCCACATCTTTACAACAGTCCAGCCCTTCTTTTTTTTTTTTTTCCTCCGTCCGCGGCGGATCACATCACACTGTTCAAACAGGGATGATGTTGGCTTCCCGGAGAAACCTGGCAGGTTGACGATGCGCCGCGGCTCGCCCATCTTGAATCGCACAATCTTCTTCCAGGATGTGAGCGGTGCCGCGTGCGAATCGCTCAAAGTTTGGCGGGTCGGCGTCCGTCGGGGCCCACGAGTTGATCGAGGTGCCGGTGGATTGGCGATTGTGTAGATTAATAAGAGGCCCGGTCCCTCCTCTTAATGCTCCGTTGGTGGTGGCCGTGGTGGAAGACTTGGATATGAACCGTCCATCCGGATACACGACAACGTGTTGACCACGTCAGGTTTCTTCAAGAAGGGCTCTTTTCTTTTGTGTGCCGACCAGGAGTTCATTGCCCGTCACGTAAACCGTGCAGAGGCGACACGGCATAGAACACATGGACGGTCGCAGGCCGACGCTTGTACAGTTGGCGAGGTGCAGATACGTAAGTGGACGCAGCAGTCGCTGCATTGGACGTAGCGTATCAACGATGTCGGTCCGTCGACAGTGTGTGGATGTATGAATATGGCCTAAGAGTGAAGGATCCAATGAGGCCGACAAAAGCGATGGCAACGGCTCGGAAGAGATGTCAAAGGAAAACGAGTGACGCGCCGGACTGGTCTCGGGTATGCTGGTCTGACGATGTTGGGCATTCTTTCCAGAAGGCAGATCATGGCATCCACCATCCATGATCCCCCTTTGGTGGCGGCAGGATTGGGTCGACTGTCGACGGTTTGTTTGAACTTTGGGCTGACGATTGGCATCGATCCATGTGCCATGTCGCCGTTCGAGTCGTGCCAACCAAATGTTTCTCGGCGGGTGGATGGGCGGCGGTTGTCACGCAGCGAGCCCGGCAGACACATGGTTGCATCCTCTTCCCAATAAATGGAGGGTCGTGGGCCAAAGCCAGCACACACTCAAATTGAACAGTGGATAACGGCATGGATGATGGACTGAAAGGGGACGAAAGTGAGTGACGGAAGACTCAACAGAGTGGCACTGAACGGCCAAAAAGCTGACCGTGGAATAATGGGTACGTACCGAGGGATAGGTACATGAAGGAAAGTGGAGAAAAGGGAAGAAAAGAGAAAGGGCCAGGGGTTCGTGACAAACACAAACTGTCATTGGTGCAGAGACCGTCTCTTTTGGGCCTTAGCGGGAGACACTGTGAGGAGCAAGGGAGCCTGTCCCTTTCAGTTGGCCAAGTCCCACCGTCGGACCAGGGGGAGCACTGGTGAAGCGAAAAGGAAAGACGGCAGGCATGGCGGCATGGCGGATGGCGCCAGTAATTCTTGTCCACCCGCAAGTGGCAGCCTCTAGTCGTTGGCTCCAGTCCCTGCGAGAGAAGGCCGTCGAGAGCCAACCAGAATGGGCGATAGGGCAATCAAAGAGCGACATCCCCCAGGTACCAAAGGGACCCGAGCCCCATTCATCCTTTTTTTCGGCCAGGAACCAGGCCCAGGTCAAGGTTGCGAGAAAGAGAGGAAAGCGAGCAGAGAGCAGGAGAGAGAGAGAAAGTGCTACCTTACCATAGAGAAGATCGCCTTGCGGCTTGCACCTGCAATATTCAATTATTACTCCCACACGCCCGGCCCTGGTCTGCCATTTGACGCGCCTTCTCTTCTCTCTTTTCCTTCTTCTCAACCTGTTCCATTCCCCCATATTGGAAAAAGGATCCTGTCCCTTTCGCTTCTGCTCCAGCAAACACATCATCACTCCCTTTGTGTTTTGTGTTGTTTCTATTCTCGCCTTTCCTCTAGACGTTCTCCCTCTCCCGGAGTACTCGAAACCATTTCACCTTTGTCGCGGGCTCGAACTTGTACGGCAGAAACCACCCACAACTCTCTACCTATCTCTTCAAATCTCTCCCGACACGTTGAACGTTCCTTTTCGGCTAAGCCCCTGCACTGAACCGTCCGTCATTACACACGAACGAAACTTGGATCAACCCCAAAGTTGATCTGTATCACTCACAATCATTTCATCAACCCCATCACACTGAGTCACTCCAAGGACTCACCACAGCTCACACAGCAACAACATCAAGTCTTGACCGAATCGACGCCGACTCATCGTACTCCCAAAGTACTCCAGGACTGGACTCCTTACCTATTGTCTCGGACGAATAGTAACACAACGCAACTCTTGCGCAGGATAATCCATCACGGCCAGCCCGTCGTCTTAATCACTTGTCTCGCTTCTCGTCATCATCACCGTGGACAGACGGACACACAAGCACACCACTCCAACAATCACTCCCTCTGTAGATCCTCTCGGTGACCGCCCCCATTCACCTTTTTTCGGCATCACTTCCCTGCTGCTCACTTGACTGCAACTGTCTTGCAGCACAAGATCCACCTCACACGCCAGTAAAGGTCACGGGTCCAATCACAAGTGCAGCCTCAAGCTCTTGTTATCACCACCACCTGCCGCTCTTCACAGTCCGTCACTGCACAACAGGCTCTTGCTCCCGGATCAGGCGCTTGCGTTCCGCTACTCAACTCAAGCTCACCTACATAATCAGCAAGGCCTAGCGTTTTGCTCCACGTCTTCCCACAGCCAAATTCAACAACCATCACCATGTCGTCTCTCTCACGAGCCTTCACTACCCGTCGGGTCAAGCAGAGCATAGATCTCTCCGACGCCGCGCGGGGGAAGGAGCGTAGCAACGCCATGCAACGAAGCAAGACCACTAAGCACCCCGTCATCAGACACAAGATCTCTGCGCCCATGGAGCTTGTTCACACCACCAACATGCTCTCATATAACGCTCCCGATATTCGACCCAGAACCGGAACCGATGCCTCGAGCAACTCGTCCAGGAAGTCGTCAGAGGAGGATTCGGAAAGCGCCAACTCCGCCGCATCGTCCCCGCCGACCAGCCCCGACGTCGCGCCTCACGAGTTGTCCAAGGAGCCAAACCACCTTTCCTGCTACTTTGTCGCGCCAGGTCAGGCTGTCAACTCTTCGATCCCTGAAGTCCCCGCCATTCCTTCCATTCCCAAGCGCGCACCCTCGCACACGAAGCAGGCCTCATACGACGCCGTCGCCCGCCAGCGCTCAGTCTCCCAGATGTCCAAGGCTTCCGACAAGACCGTTTCCTCAAAGGCCAGCATGACTTTCTCCTCCCGAGCGTCATCGGGTTCCAGCTCCGCCTCTACTATGTCTCACAGCTCAGTCGCCCCCGCTCTCAAGACCCCTGTGCCGCCTATGCCCACGCCCGCATTCCAGCATCACCACCAGCCGAGACATGAGAAGCCTGCTGAGCCGCACCCCTTCGGCCGCGAGTTGGCCCAGGTTACGGAAATTGCAGAGGAGTTTGGCATCAAGGACGATGTTATGTACGAGGAGGAGCGTGCCCTCAAGGCGGAGGGTCTATGCAAGTTTGCTGCCGAGGACTACCTGACGGAGGTTCAAAGCATCTTCGCCAGCTTCTTCCACGACAGCCACACAACTCAACGTCCCATGGCTGCCGCCGCGTGGATCTGATACGTTGATCTTTCTTACAGCCAGCTTGGCGCCTACTCAAAAACTCTTCTTTGTACATACTTGCAGGAAGTAAAAAACAACCTGACTACGACCTCGGCCTTTTTTCTTTGGGAAGGAAGATGATGAAAATGAGACCTTTGGCTCAGACAGTAGCCTCACATGGAGCGGACACTTCGCGAAACGGAGGGAGATTGCTCTGTTTGGAACCTGACGCCCAACTACATACGGGATAATTGGCGTTCTGTGTATATACCTTTGAATGACGTGTGGATATCTCCCGATAGTGCCTCATATAGAGGCATCTACCAATATTGCTATTGATAACTAGCTACCCCCATCTCTGCAGCATGTGTTTATTGGACCTCGAGTGTGACGTGACTTGTTTTGATGAGTACCTCGCGGTCCGTGGTGGTTGACCCAGAGTTTGCCACCCGTGCGCTGCAGCCTGTCCACGTTTATTTACCCAAGGTGCTGACCTTATTTCGCCTGATGATTCGCCTTTATTTCATCCGTGCCTTCATTTTATCGGATGAGATGAATAAGCAATAGCCTCGAATGCCAAAAACCCACAGACTAGTCAGAAAACGGTGTACGAACAGATGAACGGTTATGCAACGCACAGCCAAAGAATAATCTCTAGCAAACCCTTGGTTAGAAAATTAGTAGGCAATAAGGTCTACCTAGTAACTTTTGGTGAGAGCGGGCACGGGATGCAGGCAAGACGGGTTTAGCTCCACCGTCCGCCAGACCGAGCTATCGGAGACAGCGTCGCCGGTGGAGGGGGGCGGCGGCGGCGGTCTATCCGCATTTTTTTCTCTGGTTAAGCTGGTGCTTCCGACCGATGAACCTACGCCAACGCCCTTTTATCACGCTATGTTCATCCCTTTGTTATGGGGGCAAAAAAGATTGTATTTAGCACAAGGGAATAGTGAAGAGGAAATTTCATGTTCCGGGCCTATGGGGCGCCATTTTTTCGGAGATGTCTACGATATCGGATGACTGTCTGTAGCAAACGGTAACAGCAAAGGTATACGTAATTGCCCTTGTGCTTTGGAGGGAGAAGCTGTACGTGAATCTGATCATCTGAATGATGTCCGATGTGGATTGTATCAGTTTTTGTTCGGTGTTCCCGCCCCAAGACGGAAGGATCGTCGGCATGTCGCCGGCGGGGGGGGGAGAGTGGCAGGCAAGGGGGCGGCAGTGTTCATGGGGATTTTTCGCTAAAAAGTTTGTTGCATATTGTCTTGCATCTGGATCCGGCTTCCTGGCCAACTGGGGGTTTGTGAGACGACATCAGACGTACCCTTTCGATGGATGCAATCATTTGTCTCTCTTGGGTGTTGATGATTGGAGGTGAGAGAAGGGAGAAAGATGGTTGATGGTGGTGGGTGCGGAGGAATGGGGTCCCGTTTGTGGACGGCGGGAGATGGGTCCCGGGTGGGGTGGGGTTGTCATTCAGTGAGTGTGCATCTTACCTTTGGGAGTGTCTGTCCGATTGACGACTGCGACGTTGGTGCCATGTGACGGCCTGTTGGGTCTTGTGGTTTACGGACTACACACGCGATGACACTTTTTGCTGAAGCATTGAATGGAGGTGGGATATTTTGCTTCACTACCCCCGACCCATCTAGCCAGCACCAAGTTGCTTGCTGCCAGCTTGCTTGTCCCTGGTTATCTCACGGCTCAAAGAGATGCGAATAAGGGGATCAGGTGGGCCCCCTTCTTCATGGTGTCTTGAGACAACAAAGTCTACTACGTAGCTACAGTATTGTGTTTGCGCCCTTTTTCGTCTCGGTAGAAGAAATCATGGAGAAACCTGTTCCAGGCCGTAGCCATGACAACTTTCACTACGAACAGAAGATACAGACACAGCGATCTCGGGTCTTTGCTTGCACTGAAGAAAGAAAAGGAAAGGGTACAAAGCAGAGAGGACGGGACGTCATTGCCATTTCACATATATGAGAAGAGTGGGGTCTTTTCCTTTTCCCATTTACCTCCCCTGGTGTGATTTGACGATGGTTCTCCCCCAAGTTAATGGGATGCCAAGAATGGCCTTCACACCCCTTGCTCCATCCTTTGTCATCCAATGGGGGCCTGGGGACCCCGCCCCGTTCGTTTCGTTTGATCTTCCTCCAGGGTGCTTGCCCGCATGAATGATGCAGACCAGCAAGCGAAAGGAGGGGATCGGGCTGCCAGGACGGGCACGACGGTACGGTAAGGCGAACCGGGGCCGTGTGTTGGCGTCCCCCCGTTGATCGCCGTGAGGGCGGGTGTTTGATCGGAGGTCAGGATGGGGTGAGGAACACGGTAATGCGCTCCCGGAGATTTCGGCTGTTTGAAACCTGTCTTGTGGATACACGGGAACGTAATTCTTCCTATTGCTGGAAATGCCCCTATTCCCCCCCTCCCGATCTCCTGGCTTTGGACAAAATGGGGTACTTCGGAGTGGGATGGCATTCATTGTGCCGTTGATGAAATGTGATGCGGCTCTTTTTCTTCATGCATTTGGGCGATCATCAAGTCTCTGACGCGTCGACATGCCGCAGATGCCGCAGATTCGGAGATCTCAGGGTCCCATGCTCGATCTGTTACGAGATTGCGAGATGCTACGAACATCACCGCCTGCTCAGATTCGGAAGCGAATTTTTGTGAGTATTCGAATCATGAACAAGCTTCCCCCAACTGTTCATCACATCTCTCAACGCATTGAACCTATGGCCGCCCCCCAGGTCTGGTCGTGTGAGTGGTGCCGACAGGCCGGGTCGAGGCTGGGATCTTCCCTTTCGTCAAATCACATGTACTCCGTACGCATTGCATCGAAAACTGCAGCACTGATCAGAAGTTGAACTCGATGTTTCGGGATGGCCCCCCGAGGTACGGGGCCGGACTGGAGGCGAAGACTCGGAAGCCTCGGAGCGGACTCCTCGGCACTTTTGATGCTGTCGGCTCCTCCGCCCGTTGCGACATGACGGGCGCGACAACGGTCTTTAAGGGCGTTGCTTTGAGTTAAATAAAGAGGGATGCAAGTCAGTGGCCAGCCACCCTGTCGATGTTGAAGTTCCGTTGGGTATGCTAGCACTACCGATGTGACGTTCGGGTCTCTGGCTCGCATTCTTCTGAATAGTAGGTATAGAATGGGAAGAAAGCAAAGCTGGGTATCTTGACTTTGCTTTTGCTATGAGCCAATGGTTCTCCGTTAACCAAGCCTCAACAGCGCCGCTGTGCTAATGCGGCGAGTACTCCTATATCGCAGACCTTTATACATTGAAAGCAGCCCGCAGTCTAAAGCCAATTGTTGAACCAGCCTGTCAATGGCCTATGTCTCGATTTCGCCGTCCTGTGAGGGTCATGAGCTGTCTGCCTGGACTGATTACATTGGCTCGAGGACGACTCACCGCTTCTGCGGCTTCTTCTTCTCCGGAGAAGACCGTGAACCGTGTGCGAATACCCCTACCTCGCGAAGGGTATACGGCACATCCCCTTGCTCCCGCGGTTCATCTCGTCGTGGCCTTTTCCTAGGCGATGCTTGGCTACTCGTATCAGGGCTGCTGGGTTGCGACGAGAGATTGCACTCAGAGGCGGTCCCGAAATCGAGACCGTCGACAGTACCGAGAATGGTGGCGGTGCTCGATTTATCCTCTTGTTGGTCAAGTCAAGCGTCAACATCTTGCTTGTCCAGCACCTTTCCCTCCGACGCGCTCGTCCAGTGAGATATGGCGTCCAAAGGGTCGCGATTGCCCTTGTATAAGAGAAAATCAGAAAGAGATTTGTCGTTCGGAAAGGACTCGAGAACATGGTGATATATCTCGTGGCTCTTCCTCTTCCAGACATCTGGGCAAAATGCCGCAGACGAGGTCATGTATCTGATTGAGCGAGCTGAGCACGATAACACTTGAAACAACGGCGTGTAAGTCTTGGTCTGGCTAAAGCTGGAAATTCAAATTGAGCTCGGTACATTTGTATGAATCATCTTTCAATGGGCATGGTCTGTGGTTAATAAGAGATCGAATATTGCAGCAAACGGCATGGCTCCTGAGCGGCCGCCCGAGGAGGGACTTTGTAGAAGCCGAATTCGGAAGCCTGGATGTGCCCCACGGCAGCTTTTTACGTCCTGGATAGTGTCAACAGAGAGCCCGACAAGTCTGTCCTTGCCGTTGCGGGAGCTCTACAAGCTTATTTCTTTCCCAGGAGGATGGATAAGGTGCTGCGGAGGATCCGTGAGGATGTGCCAACGACAGGCCCTCCGCGATCCAGATATTGATTTGAGTGTTGCCTTGCCGAGAAAACATGATTCAAAGATGGCCATAAAGAGAGGATGGACTTCTGATCCTGCTGTGGGACGGGACATCCGGGATCGGCCTCAGGGGGGGTTCTGCCTGCAGCCTTACCCCAGCCCTATGCTCATGGTATGCCCGATATGTTGTCTGCTGGATCTGGATACTCGACTGCGTTTCTGGAAGACATGATGAAGGGTATGTAAACGCGAGTAGCGCGCTGAGAAACGGTTACTTTGCTGCCTTCTTGGGATCGAAGCATGCGACCGATCGCGAGGCCATATTTCTGGAGTGATTGTCGGCAGCCTGACGGAGCCTGCTTCGTTGAGATCCGTTTCGAGCAAGAAAATTGAAGCTAATGTGTGGCAACTGAAAGGATGTGAGGTCCAAAATTGAAAAGCACCTAGGCAACAAAATTGAGAGTCCCGCTGGATACGGAATACTTGCAACAAACATGCCCCGTCCCCGACGGCGCTGAGGAGTTGAAGGACGGGGCCGGAGTTGATCATCACATGATCAGGTACACCTCAAAACATTCGAGATCGCCGCTTGACGAAAGTTGTGTGTTTGGGTCCCTTCAAAACCGTACCGTATCTGGGAGGGATAGGAGGTGTTCGAATGCGAGGGCCCTATGGTCAACAGCTAGCGAGAACCATGGGAACAGCGTTGAATACCATGTAAAATCCTCTTTAGGGCTTCTAAAGCCTTTCGAACAAGAAAGATTCCAGAAGCAGATGTCTATTTATGGGCTCATCTTTCGATGGTGGCCAGCGACTATCTTGGCTCGATAGCTGCCTGTGCCGGGATGATTAAGGTGCAGCCTAGAGTGGGCGTACAGAACTGGTCGTGAAGAACGAAAATGGTAAGGTCTCGGGGTGCAAGCCAGCCATTGAGACTTTTTCATTCCTTGCTAGACTCGCTTATGAGTGAGAACTGGGCTGGAAACGGTCGACAGAATGGGACTTTGGTGTTAGTGCTCTGACATGGACGTTGGAATAAACGGCATGAGTTGGCAATGGAGGTCGTCAAGACCAGGGTGTGGGGCATTGGTGGAGGTCAACAAGTGGGCTTGGTGTCAGCCACAGGTATCCATCCAGGTGCTGGGTGAAAGCCACCACCAGCCACAGTTTCCCAAGGGGTCGTGGATTTGGAAGCAACCCCTGCGGTAGCTACGATGAAGCTGTGCGCCTGGACTCGGCTTGGTTTCGTTTCGTTTCACCCACCACCAAAACCCGACTGTCTCGACAATGCCTCCCGTCTTCTTCACTCTTCGATAAACCCAAAGGTGGTGAATGGATGGTCAATGGCACGATTAACGCTCTTCCGATTTCCCAACAAGCTTCGCCGGCGTGTGCGGAGGAACCGAATGGCCACCCTGCTGGCTCTACTCGCCCTGGCCGTCCTGCTGGTCGTGCCCTTCTACATCATCTACAAACCACCTCCGTTTGTTATCAACTACTTTGCGCGAAAATGGCCCGACGTACTATGGCAGGTCAAGACGGACCAGAAGATCATCGGGCTCACGATTGATGATGCGCCATCACAGCATACGGCCGATATCCTCAACGTCTTGAAGGAGAACGATGCACATGCGACCTTTTTCCTCATTGGATCCCAGATGAACGGTCGCGAGGAAGATACGGGCGCCATAATTCAGTCCGGCAGCGAGCTGGGAAATCACGGCATGCACGACGAAGCTTCGCGGTCCCTCCCTATGGAACAGTTGGAATCGGACATATTCGAGGTCAGGCGGAAGATCAAAATTGCATACGAGTACGAGGATAAGCCCCTTGTGGCTGGGTATTTCCGTCCGGGTTCCGGATTCTTCAGCAACAAGATGCGGAGGTTGGTCGACAAGCTGGGATACAGGATGGTTCTGGGCAGTGTTTACCCACACGATGCCCAGATCAGTTCTTGGCGGACGAATGCCAACCACATCTTGAGCATGGCCCGTCCAGGAGCTATCATCATATGCCACGATAGAAGGAGTTGGACCGTTCCCATGCTGCGTAAGGTACTTCCGGAGCTGAGGAAACGGGGTTATAGGATCCTCAACCTCACGGAACTACTCAAGGAAGTCGATCCAGACAAGTGAGAGGCGTCTTAACGGAGAGAAAGAGCATCAATCATCCAAACCATGACGAAGAAAACCAACTGCAACAGTGCATATACGCAACCCGTGTCCAGCCCTAGACCGCTTCGAGGCTCACGTGCGCACCCAACCTTTAAATGAGGGGTATCGGCGACTTCGGAGACCGTGTGAGTCCGCGGTCAGAGCTGGTCTCGATCGCAGCATGGAGCCGCCGGGGGATGCGGAGCATCATGACCGCGCCATCATTGCCGAGGCCAATGCGGTGTAATACCACGTTGCCCATAATAGCTTAAACATGACGAGGAGTCTCGCCTCGAGGCTACGGCGTACAAAGGAACGGGTCGCTGCATGATCGAGCGTAACAGGCTCGCTGCTTTATGAAATTGATGAGGCATGGCCCCCTCCAACGTTCGCTTGTTTCAGTACGGCGACACAAAGATGTTCTACGAGAGCTGGGTGACACCTCGTGAGAGAGCAAGGGCTCGGAGGAAGTCGATTGGGCGATTCGCGACCGGGTCGAAGGGGGGGAGGCGCCATGTATTGGCGCCGTTGTAGAGCCTGGCAGATCTTTGTACGATAGAGGTTGTCAATCTTATGCTATTAGCCGTCAGTGAGAGCGAAAACTGGTTCGCCACGACATCTCTCGCGGCCTTTTTGTCCTCGACAGATCCCCGTAAACTTGTCCGAGTATCTCTAAATCCCCACTCACATGGTTTTATTGCTTCGCATTATAAGCTGCCACATGCTGCTAACCTTCGTAACGATAGGCATTGCTCAAATTTGCCGAATGCCAAGCTATTCGTAGCTCGTTTGACATTGTTCCTAGGTTCATGATGGGGGTTGGCTGGAACTCGCTACGCTTGTCGCCTACAAATGATTTTGGCGCAGTCCCATGGTAGCTATATCATGCTGTATCGCGTCTCTTTTCTTTGTAGTTAACAATGCTCATGGGTCGAAAGTGACAGTTCATGAAGGGAGCCACAATTCAATACTTCGTGGCGGCGAAGCAAATGGCCTTGAACAGAGGACAATTACATTCAGCACTATCCAACGACCTCAGACGCCACCTTTCCAACGGACACGAGAGGTTAGCACCGAAATAGGTGTGCCAGAGGCTCCAGGGCCAAAATCAGTCAGTCGTTTCCCCCAGACCTCAAAGGGCAGTGTCTACAGCAAAGACGGCGCCACCAACGGTGCAAACCTCAAACAGCAAAGGTTTGCCCATCCAGCAATTTTACAAGATCTAGGATTTCTTGGTAACAAGGGATTATCTACTAAGTATAAATTCAGTAAGACAAGTTGGAAAGGTCCACTGTAGAAAAAGGGGCCAAAAAGTCAAAAGCTCAAGTGCGCAGTTCGGGAATCGAACTATGCACCCTACGAAATCCTCCATCTGAGAAGACTTCTTAGGATTTCATGACCAAGTTCTTTACTAACGGACCAGGGCGTTATACCGCTCGACCATGGAGGTCCATTGGGCTTGGTTGACGAATGAGGCCACCGGCCTGGATATAAGGGCACTGGAGGCCCTCATTCTTGAGATACTACCGGCCCTCCTCGACGTATTCCATCTCATGTTATTCGACTCCATAATTTGCTCGTTCCTTCCTCTTCACCTCTGAAGCGGCAACTACCCCTTTGGAATCACTCGATCGGTGAGTATTTGATTTCATCTGTGGAGATTTCGAGCAGACTTGTCTTCCTCCTCCCCTTCACCACCTCGACCCGGGCCCTCATTCTCAGCGGTATTGTAAGAGGGGAAAAGAACGCATACCAACCAGCATTTGGTACTTCTCTTTGACATATATTATAAAGGTAATCGGAACTACGGCACAGTCAGAATGCACCCTGACGAGCTTATCTTTCCGTTCTGTGCGGACGACTGCTGCCCTGGTCCCGCTGACGCAAACAAAGCAAACTTCACACCAACACACTCCGCCAACGACCTGACAGACAAGCAAACTCCAATGGACAAGCAAACTTCAGGTTCCCAGGCCGTCGTAAAGGCCCTCAAGGGGCAGACCCTTCACGTCCCGAATCTCTATGACATCTTCAAAGGATGGCCAGTTAAAAAGACCAACCCTCACTATAAGCGCATGATTCCCATCGTCGAGGAAGCGTTTGACCGGTAACACAAAACCCCCTACCAACCTACTGGAAGAAAGAACAATCTTCTCACAAATTGCATTCACCAAGGCTCATCAAGTCGCCCCCTCTCCGTGAGAAATACCGGGAGGCCAACTACGCCAGATTCGTCAGCTTGTAAGCCCGATCCACCGACCCCCTGACCTCCCACAACTCTAGTTTAATCCTTCGACACAGGTATTACCCTCACCCAGATTGGGAACAGGTCCAGACGCTGGCGCTATACATCATCTGGCTCTTCTGCTGGGACGATGCGATCGACCAACAGGGCAGCGACGACCTGAGTAACGATCTTCTTCGCGCCAAGACTCGTCACGACGATACGATAGTAGTGCTAGAATATGTGCTCAATATTGGCTTTGATGATGGCTCAGCTATACAGTATGATCACGCCAATACTGAGCTGAAGGAGATTGGAGCCCAGTTACGGAAAGCGTACACCCGTGGTAAGTCGTTGTGTCAATTGCGAGACAACCAACAGCAGTTCCACTAACTCGAAGCAAAAGAGCAGAGACAGACCTTCATGACTCAGATGAAGCGATACATCAATAACTGCCACAAAGAGCAGGCTATGCGTCTTCGGGGCGACTTGCCCGACCTTCAGGCGTACTCAGAGCTCCGTCATGGAACGGCCGCAGTGTGGACGCTTTGCGCACTCATCGAGTCAGTACCTTGTCAGACTTACTAAGATTAAGGAACAAAGTCTTACACTTCGGGACTTAGATATGGTTTGGGAGAGAACATGCCAGAGCACATTCGTTACATGAAAGAGATCCAGACTATCTGGGAGGAGACGAGCAGAGGCATCTGGATGTACGTGGATACCAAGTAAACATACCAAAGGGCAAATGCTCATATACTCACAGTACCAACGACATACTTTCTCTCAAGAAAGAGATTGTAAGTAAACAAAAAACCACATACCCACCCAAGAACGAATATTAACCAACATTCTCACATAGCCCCGTGATGCCGCCAAGGCAGAGAGCGTCGTGAACGCCGTGCCCATCCTCATGGGTGAAGGCAAATCGCTCCAGCAGGCTGTCGACGCCCTGCTCACTGAGCTCCAGAACTCTGTCGCCATCTTTGAGCTTGCCGCCTCGGTCCTCGAGGAAGCCGCTGGAGAGAAGAATCAGGCGATAATCAGAAAATACTGCGATGCGTGCCGCTGCATGGTGACCGGATCAGTCCAGTTCACGTAAGTGCTTTTCATGCGCCCTCAGCACAACTCAAGGCTAGAGTAGCTAATTGTGAAAATAAAGTCTTGAGTCGACCAGATATAAGCTGGCGGGCTGCATGAACAGGGATGGATCGTTGGATATCCTGCTTTGAGGATACGGTGAAGGATAAGATCCGGAAAATGACTCAAGAGACTAGATCGAGACTGCTTTGGGGCTGCTTTGGGATGTTGGGCCAGATACCCTGCTTTGCTGATTTGCAGATTGCGGTCTCTAGCTGACTAGATTCCTATACTCGCTGTCACTAGTGTTTTAGACATTAGCTTCTATAGCTTATAAGGTTTCTGAAATGCAATAGACCGATTCAATTGCTTCATATCTTGGTCTTCAAGGATATCGTGACAATTGGGAAACTTCCTAGAAAGGTTAATCGTGTGAGAAGAGGTCCTTGTGTTACACACGACCGATCACCAAATTGATGCTTACTCTTTGGACCATGTAGGAAGACTTTGTGGAATGCTAGTAGCTTACATTTGATTATAGCCTGATAACTTTTCGTGAAGGCGAGTAGAAGGAAACAAGTCATATGTGACTAAAAATACATTCAAGAGTAGTGAGTTCACGAGGAATCAGCGTCTAATATACTCAGTTACTCACCACCTAAGAAGGCTTGCAAACATGAACAGAGACCACAGCATGAATCTTTCTTCAGCCATCTATTCTCAAGGCAGAGACCCTCTATCATGGTCCCCCATCTAAGCAGCACCGTATCGACTGCTATCAAATCATCGAATGAAGCCTTCACACATCACCCCCTTAAACCCTCTTCTTCTTCTCCTCCACCAACGCCTCAAACCCTTGAACCAAATCATCCCTCAAATCCTCCCACCCCTCCACACCAACACTCACCCGCAACAACCTCTTGCTACACCCACTATCGCTCATCGCTCGCCACTCAATCAGACTCTCAACACCCCCAAGCGACGTGGCATGATGGAACAACCCCATCTTACTAGGCAACCTCTTCGCATCCCCCTCATCCCGCAACAACAACGCAAACACGGGCCCAAACCCGCCCGGCATCTGCTTCCTCAACCACGACCCTTCCTCCCCGCCCTCCAAATCCTTGCTCTGCAAACTCGCGTGCTGGACCTTGTCCACGACACTCGCCACCAACCCCCCCGGATTCCCGCGAATCTCCCCATCAAGCCACGCAACCAGCTTCGTCGCGGACTCGGACTGCCTCTTGACCCTCAACTCCAGCGTCCTCAACGACCTCACACCAAGCCACCCCTCCATGCTCCCCATCACACTCCCAATAAAACACCTCTCCATCAGCAACTCCGCCATCCACGCCTCCCCCCACTTGGGATTCAAACTCAGCGTCCCGCACAACATATCCGAATGGCCCCCAAAATACTTTGTCCCAGAATGCATCACCACATCCGCCCCCAACACGAACGGATCCTGCAGCGGCGGCGGCGCAAACGTAGCATCCACCGTCAAATACGCTCCCTTGCGGGTAGCCACCTCTCTATAATAAGCCAGATTCCTCGCCTCCCCCGTCGGATTCAGCGGCGTCTCGACGTGCAGCACGTCGCCCTTCTCCAGCTTCTCCAGCGAGGCGTCGTCGAGCTCGAGCTGTTGCAGGCCGTTAAGTTTCGTAAGGACCTTGATCACCCCGTGACAGCCGTGGTACCCGCCGCCGATAGCCACGCGCTTCGGGTTCAAGAACACGAGCATGGCGTGGAAGGCGGAGAGGCCCGAGGAGTAGGTCAAGGTCGGCCCGTGAAGCACGCTGGAGAGGATGGCTTCGAGGCGGGTTGTGTTGGGGCCCGAGTAGCGGGAGTAGACGTGTGAGTCGCCCGGGGCGGAGGGCTGTTGATGGGGGGTGTTAGTTTGGGGCGTGGTCCTTGATACTGGGCTTGCTTTCACTCATGACGGGACTCATTTCTGATATTCCCTTGACAGGTGCAACATCTTCAAGTCGAATTCATGAGGGCGAGGGCAGACAACTTACATCGACATTGTCCCCTGGGCGGAGCTCATCCGGGTTGCTGTGATACTTGAACGTGGTAGACACATGCATCGCCGGCGCGACGGCGCGGTGGCTGCTGATGCCATCATCGGCGTGGACGGTAAGAGTGGCAAGCGAAAGCTCTTTCTTGTCCGTCGTCGGGGCTTCGGAGCCGGACCCGGGAGCGGCCCGGATCGCCGTGTCGCCGTTCGTGGGGATATCTCCAGCCATTGTGTTTATTTTTTAAGTGCGAAGGAGGAAGAGGGGCTTCAGGGTCTCTTAACTAGGGGTGTACAAGAGTCCTAGGACAAATTGGCGAGAAACGGGATGAGGTCTAATCAACTGGAGGAATTTGAGATCTAAGGTTCAGGGGAGAAACCTTTAGGCGAGGTGTATTATAGAAAGGGAAAATGAAGAGTCACCGACGACAAATCGGCGCGGATGACGATCAAGACGGGCGGCCCGGTGCCGGCAACAAGCCGTCTCTGGGGCGCTGCCCCTCCATTGCGTGGAACCTTATCGAAAGGTGGGGTCGGAAACCAAACCCCGAAGCTGGGTCATGGTGCGATAAGTGCATGACGGATGAAAAAGTCTTTGCTAAAATCACGTCAAAAGCATACTGACGATTGGGACAACGATGCCGGACGAGTCTCCGCCAGCCATCCCTCCGAGGTTCGGACCATGATTCCAGCTATTCCAATGAGTAATCCTCGTTCATATCCCGGACTTGCCATGCCTCACACCTTTTAAGGTAGGTCACGGGTATTGTCACCATGCAGCAGACCCTGAGGCCAAGACATGTCAACCAATTTCATTATCATTAAGAGCATATTTCCAAGACCCTCGGACTCGGAGCTCTGCTCGCCAGGTTGACTTGCAACCGCCCGTATATGCATAACGCGGCTCAACCCGACGAGTGTACAGGCTGGTTGGCCCAACTCTAACCATGTCATAGCGAATGCACCCCATACTTTGGGACATATCCCACCCAATAACGCCAAATCCCAAGCCGTCGAGGGCCGCATCGACAGGACGTATATACAAACTTTAAAAATGATGCCCGGGAGAACGATTAATGAATTTCGGTAGTCTCGACTGACGCCGCCGACTTTGGGCGCTCGATGGTTCCTAGTTCTGAGCCCTGTCCGCTCTGGCCGCGCTTTCTACCAGCTCCGTTCAGGAAGCGCGTGACGCTCGAGTTGGGCGAGTTAGCGCTCGGCTCCTTGTGGTCTGAGTCACCGAAGCGCGAGAACAAGCCGCGCATGCGGCTGGATTGGTGATGTTGTTGTTGTTGATGCTTCTGGTCGTCCAGGCCGACGTCTTCGAAGCCCTCGTCAGCCGTGGGAAGTTCCCGGTGTCTGTCAAGCGCGGATCGAGGCAGGCGAGGGTAACGGGCTGAATCGAGACTTTGGCGCGCTGGGAAGTCGTTCTGGGGAATTGGGGACCGTGCTGTGATGTCCTGCAACGCAAATGTGGTCAGCGGTGGCGCCACAACCAGCAGCTTGGGCTCACGACAAAGCCTCCACATACAAATGATCGCCTGTAGGAATCGAACGATTCCCTCGAAATAGAGAAGTGCTCAATCTCGCCGCTGTTGCTGCGAGTGTCTGTCGAGTTGCGGCCAGAGCTGAGGTACTTGCTCGGCCACAAGCCTTTTTCTTCCGTTGGGGATGGCTGCGCATGCGCGTTAGCAAATGTCTCGAGCGAAGGCGAGGTTGTTGTGGGGGTGCATACCGGAAGATAGACGCCGCTATCATTTACGACTGTGATGCAGAGAAAAGTAAGTCAATTGGTCCTATATGCACGCCATAATACCTGGCTCGAGGGGTTGGAGGGTGGGCGGAGGTGCATACCACTCATCTTGTATTCACCATTGTCCTGGCTCTTGGAACTCCTCACGCTGAGGGAAGAGGAGGCTTTGGATCCGACTGTATCTTGCTTCTCAAAGCCGGGATGCGACGGGATCTCGCCATCGGGTCGTGAGTTTTCGTCTGCATGGAGAGTGGCAGGGCCCGGACGACGGGCAAAAGGGTTGCGAATGGGCATGGCGGAGGATGGCGCGAAAGCGGCAAGGTCGGGATGGTAGCTGGTGAGAAGCAAATTTCGATTTGGCGCGAGGGTGTAGAAGTTGGAGACCAGGCCTTGGTGCGGACTCTGGTTCAGAAGCTAGAGAGGAAAACTTGGTGCGTAATGTTTCGAGTTGTATTTGTGTTTCGAGGTTGATGCTGGGACCGTTTGACAAAGAAATCGATGGGTGGACCCAAAAGGCGAAGGCGGGGAATAGGGTAGCGGGATGGCGATGAACTATATGGCAATCTTGACCCGTCCTATTTCCCACTCGGGCAGATGTAGGTAGTGTACTTGGTACCGTAGGCAGTGATAGTGGTGTCTGAGTTGGTCGAGGGCCCAGTCTTAGTCTACTGCGTACATGTACAGTAAGACGGTGGCTTGGGATGGGCAAGGCGGAATCGTATTGGTCTGTAGAAGTCGTAGAGGAGAGATGGATGCAGGAGATGATGGAGATCCAAGTGAGGCGCCGGGAGATGGAGACGAAGATTGGGGACGGGGTTGGCGCTTGTTGAAAGTTGAGGACGTAATAGAGACGTGGTGCTGCGTATGGGTAGACCGTAGAGAAGAAGAAGCGAGTAAAGGTAAGGTAGACGAGAGGGTAAAGCTGGAAGTAAAGATGGATGGGAGCTAGAACTGGCGGACAATATCATCGGGCGGGAATCTGCAGGTTTTGGGCTGTGCTTGCCTTCCCCTGGTGCCCCGGTCTCCCGTCTGCCATCTGTCTCTGGTGAGGTCGGGTGTGAGTGTCTGTCATGTCTTTTTTCTTCCCGCTCGTGCCTACATTTCCTTTCCTTCCTTGCATCCGCCCAGTAATTACTGGAACTGTGGTAATAGGCTCAGTTGCACTTGGTTCATCCACCCATAGCACGGGAAAAAGTGAGGTGCGGATACGCGCTACTGCCACTCAGGGACTAGACGCAAGGGGGGGCACATCAGACTTGGAAGTGACGAATGACCCTCTTGCAGATGCATCCATTGGATCATGAGGCAACTTCCGTACATTGGCATCTCATATTGAGGGAAAGAACCCCAGTGCCGCAGCCGCTGCCGATGCCGCTGTGAAAAAGGTGAAGAGACCGCGGTCCCGCCCGGACTCTTCGCCATTACTCTTCAGCGCCAAGTGGGAACTGTAAAGAGCTTTTCCACGGCATGGGCAGGGAGTAGGCAAGTAGGGACGTTTTGAAGGCGTCAAGTCCGAGAGCCCTAAACAGTGAAGGTGTGTAAGGTGCATGCTGCAGCGGTTCCCCATCATCGACATGGGCAGATAGATCATCGGCACTATACCCAACGACTCAGCCAACATCTTTGCAAACACTGCGCGGCCTATGTCTATCAGTGGAGAGATGGCAGCGTGGACAGCATGGACAGCCTGGCACTGACGAAGCATTCAATGATATGTCACGAGAATTGGGTTTGCGATGGCGGCTGGTCTATCCGTAGGCGGGACGGGGATTCGGGAAACCGGGAAACTTGGAACGAACCGCGAATACCATGCCACCAACGGCCCAGGACACTGGGGAAAGACATGATCAAACACTACATAGCTCACTCACACACTCTCTCTGCCTTTGGCCCTTTGCTCAGTGGATGGAGTCATGGACTGGCCATACCGACCCTGCTTCTGCAAGCTTTGAGAAGCTTTCAAAAGGCAAGGGACCTTGGTCGATGACATGTGTTTGTCCCATGTTTTTCCTTGGTACCTTACTGAGCTGAATGGTTCGTCGCTGCCATCAGTGACATGAGGTGGGATGCGGGTCGGTACATGTGACAGTGCCTTGAACACAGCATCACCGCAAGTATCTCTCCCATCTTGCCTTCTTATGTAATCACCCCAACACCCCATGGTGCCCTCCCTTCTGGAAGGCCCGCGGTGACGCTTGCCGTCATCCACCATGTCCGGTCCAACCTTGCGCCCCGAATCCCCACGACGGGGCATGCCCTTTTCCAAATTCCAACCCTGATTATCCTGGCATTCTTTCTCCTTGGTTACAGCGGTTAAAACCCGCCCACCATTCAGCGTCTCTCGCTCATTTCTAGGCGCATACTGGCAGACCTGTGAAAGCTCTGCTCAGTCACAAGCGTCCAACACTCGGCCCCCAAACGGACATCTATGATCTGTTCTCCGTCTCGCCTCGATTGCCTGGCACAGTCCTGTTCGCCCATCGCAAGGTGTTCATCCACAGTACGACGCTGGCACGCTGGGTAAACCTGAACGTTCGGACGGCACACTTCGGATCTCTCGGCATCGGAGCGCAAAAAAAGCTGCCCTTTGATCTCCGTGCCGCACTTCCTTTTTCTATCGCCCTTCTGCGGACCTGCATCATGTCTGTCCAATTGTTCCTGATTGACCGCATCGGAACGTGAGTTGGCTGCGCCTATCCGCTCGCTACATGACGCTCTACCCAACCCACACTTCCCCTCAGCGGATCATCGACCTGCCGAGCGGAGAACGGGAGTCGGTCATTGCCGTCGCCGGCGCAATGCTCCACCACACGCTCACCTCGAAAATTGATGAGGGGTGCCATCTATGGGCTGGGAAATGGATACACGTGATGCGAGTGTTGTCACGGAGGAGAACGACTATGATTCGTCTTTTCGAAACACGAGTCAAAAGCCGTACATCGCAGACGCCAATACTGCCAATGCTTGACAGAAACAAGTCAGTCTTCACGCTGTAAAGCTTCACAATTTGAGAACGGTAACCCTGGCTGGAGGTGAGCTCACTGGTACCCACGATCATACCATCAAAACGAGGTCGACTGCGTCTCTTTAAACAACAAGATGTCCGGTCTGGAAGCAGGCTGTGACCTGCTTCGACCTTTAGCTCAGTGATAGTTGTCTGCATGCGGGATTCGCCCACGGCAAGACGCCTCGTAGGTTGTCTCGCACAAGTCTTGTTGAAAGTCGCCTTCCCGGACGCCCTCGCCGGCTATGGCTTCGCTGGCTTGGTCCTTCCTACTGTGTAGACATCGGCCTGGCCAGTCAACCAGTGCCCATACACCGTGAGCCGAGGCAGAAGCGAGACAATTTGCAATTGTCCAACGTGCAACGAGGAGCTTGGGGGCCGTTCACATCGTGGTCCAGCATGCCGCCGGATTGGGTTATCGTGACTTCGGCTACCCAAGGTGGCTGCGGTCCGACAGGCAACTGGGAATGTAGACGCCCAGATCCGATGGAGCGGGCACGCTACAGGCAGACACGCACCCACGCAACCATGCACCATTGAGATGGTCTGTCGACACCACAAGTCTAGGCGTCGGCGATGCCTAACACCGGCCCTGTCGCGGTGCCATGTTGACTTCGACGGACTTTGGCTATGCTTGTCATATGCTTCGGCGGTTGACCAATTGATGGCGTCTTAGTACCCAGCTGCGCGGGAAGACACTGCTGTGCTTACATCTGTCGCTATCATCAGCTGGTCGCGTTTCTATACATCCAAAAAGCGGTCCACCGGATGGAGACAGATCAACTGCGCCTGTGTAGAGATATCTCTTTGTCTCGAGATGATCGCCAGAGTGTCCGCCCACCTTGACCTGGGTTCGGCTCACAACGTCGCGCTTCATAAGACATCGCTTTCGCCCAAACCAACGCGCTTCTTCAATCCTTTGTTCATCATGTAGATCGATTTACGACCCTCGCCATCGTCTGCAGCATCGTCGTCATCGGCACAGGATCTGAAAAGCACCATCGTCATCTGTATCGACTCTGGGGGTTATACGTCAATCCAAGAAGAAATGGTGCGCTCGAAGACAAAGAGGTGATCAACTTTCCTTCAAGGAAAACAGCAAGCATTGTGCTGATCAGGATGTTGTATACTCCGCGACAGTGGGGGTTCGGTGGTGGTATGCCGATGCCATCGCAAAACGACCCTGTCGAAACCCTGAAAGGGGTAGGTATCCCTGGCTCGACTACCCATTAGAGTATCGAGATTCGATATTCGGGCTTCTGGTATGAGTATAATGGTGTTCAACAGGCGACTTTGGCCGGAAGTCTATTCATTGAAAAACAAGATCCACGAGAACTCTAATACATCCCAGACCTATCAATCCTGGGACGGGTTTCGCTGCGATCTGCGATCTGCCATATGGCCCATGGGATGATGGGGCGATAATCACGTTATTGTTTGGTGGACGCAGCACGAGTGAATCTGTCAATCTACCGATCTTTGACTACACGTACGGGAATTGTCCGGAAAGACTTTTCACCATCAAAGACCTCAGAGGCGATCTGCCAAAGGATGTGGTCGATGCTGAGACGCACGTAATCTCGATTGTCCGTGAGAAGGACGAAACAGACCCGCGCCTAACAGCCGCATTGACTTCAAACGCCTGCTCAACCCACCTTTTGGGTTTCTCAAGCCTAAGAAATAAGAACTTCATCGCGGTACCTGACGGGACGATGTCTGTTCTTCCCAGCCTGCGCTTTTGGATCTCATGGCGTAGGCGCTAGGCCGACGCCATGCATGCCCGTGTACCTAAGAAAAGAAGGACATGAAATGATCGACCCTTGAGCGTGAGTCCGAGCAACATCGGACGATTCGCAGCGAGACGGTCAACGTCTGCTGTCATAAGGAGAGAGTGAAGCTCAAACAACTTAGTCGACCTCTCGCCGCTGGAGTAGCACTGAATGACACGGTTCCCGTTGCTCGCCAAGGCCAATGGTCGTTTTCAGGTCGAGCCTCGATGCCGCGGGGCCCCACTCGCGATGGGATGCTATGTAAAGCACACACTTCGCCCGCATGCTGCAGGTTGCAGGACGAGAGAGATCAGCACGAATGTGGGATCTCCAGGGGCAGCGCGACCGAAGCGGCCATGGGAAGCCTTTGAGGCTATGCATCGCGTTGAGGCCGTCTGGTTCCTGCGTCCGTCTGGTCTCCCGCTTTCTCCACGTCGAACCTATGCCGAAATCGATCGACCACTCAGACGACGATATGATTAGACCCCTAGAATGCAGTACCATGGCAAACGTTCACCGGATTCCTAGGACTCTGTGGAAACCGGCAGACCACGGGGCGAGTGCGGAATTCTACAAAACATCTTACTTACCTCTTGGCTACCTGTGAACGTCTAACTTGAGTTGCACGACATATAGGGTCATGTGATAACGGTCCAGGCTCGACAGCACGAGAACGCGGACAAAAGTGGCTTGTCCACAACCGAAAACATGGAGATAACATGCGGTAGTGGGATAGAACACACTCAGAAACACTATAGATGAGAGGCAACAGCTGGTCAAGGTCCCCCGTCCCGGGTCTGGAAATCAGGTGTGGCTTGCTCTTCCGCCCATCCTTCGGCGCCAAGTGGGCGAAACTAGATCAGCCCGCGCCGTACCTTGCATTCCGCAAACGGCCATCTGAGACCACTTCCGTCGTAGCAACATGTTGGTTCTGCCCGCCCATCTCCCCCCACCACAACTCTTTTTCTCATGTGGCGTTTCTACCTACAAGGTACGCTTTCGCACTTTGATTCTGCAGACAGAGAGTGTGAACATTCCAGTAACAGAACGCTCGGCCCGATTCCCAAGCATTTTGACATGGCGGCGGCACATAGCAAGACGGTTGACTGAGAGGTAATGTCATCCCAAAGCGCCATTGTACCAAACGCAAACAGGTCTAGCAGCTTGTCTCGATCCGTAAGATGGGATCCTCGATGGGGTTGAGCAGGGGTACTCCAGACCCATGCCCTGCAGCGGGCATGAGTACGAGACTACGACTTTACGGGAGCAGTGCTCAGAAAACACCAACGACCCAATTACTACCACACCCGACTTACAAATCCCCTTTTGGGATGGACTTGTCGACCGGACGTGGTGGTACTGCACTCGCCCATCACCCCACGCACGTCCTCGGTGGGCGCTCTTGTCGTGAATACACCACAATGTCTCCTCCCATCTCCACTTGGACGATGGACAGAGAGAGCGAGGCAACCCAGCCACTGACACACTCCGCCCGAGACGGATCCTGGCTTCGGTCACTCTTCAGTCTAGTCCCAGTCCAGCACTGCTCGAGAGTCCAGGCCTACCCCATCCAACGAGCTCGTTCATGGCGGACGGGTAGGCAATATGGCTGATGAGAGAGATGGACGTGTGTGTGTCGTGTTGTTTGCTGTTGGTATCCGTGTTCCCTGTTTCATACATAACCTGCCGGCTTCCGTCTGACCATTGAGGGTCAAGATCCTGAACCTCATCCAGGCTTTTTGTTTCCCTCCTTCACCGCTTAAGGACACCTTGAAGTCCCCTTATATTCACCAGTGCCCCTCCGATACGAGGTCACTTTCTATTCCTATCCCGTGTAACTAGTACTCGATAACGGTGGCATCTTGCCTTGTCTTGTACCTTACCTCGGTTCTTGACATCATCTTCGACCTTCAACAAACGACTCGCACTACAACACTTTGCAACAATACTATCAGGACGATCTCTTCTTCCTACCTGATTGAAAAGCCACAGCGCTTCGCCCATTATCGAAAAAAACACAATCTCTGAGCTTGTTCTGGGTCCATCGCCACCGACAACGCTCTTCGCCGCATTCGAACAAGACATTGTGAACCAGTCCGATTGCAGCAGTATAGAGAACGTCACACCTCGAGACTAGAACCGACTTCGGTCGCAAGAGGGGCCCTTGCTTTTCGCGTATTCCTCCTCACTTCAAGAACAGAGCTGTGCTCCATCTTCATTCACCTTGGTCGACATTTTCACGTCTGATACCACGCACCTTCCTGACCTACCTGCTCGCACACTGAGCAACCCTCTCTCACCACTACACATCACCACACACATCAACCTCATTCAACGCGACTCACAATGACTAAGAGAGTATTTGTCGACTGGGAGTTGTGGCAGCAGATGACTTTCGTAAGTATTTTATCATCACCACCCCGGAAAGATTTATGACTAACATGCCTATCTCATAGGTCCTGGCTTGTGCCATTGGCGTCGTCTTCATCATAGGCTTCGTGAAGCTATGGTGGTCAAACCGATACATGGCCAAGCTCGAAATCATTGACGCGGAGAAGAGGGCACATGCCTCAGAGATGGAGTCAACCGGCCTGCCGCCCCCACGCAAGCAATCCGAAATCCCCTTTGGCGTCCGTGCCATCCAGTCCGGCATCGAAGTCGACGGTATCTGGATCTCCCGCCCCAACACGCCTGCCACCGACTCCCCTCCCAACTCAGCCAAGGGCAAGGGCAAGTACGTCTCCGTCGGTCCCATCTCGCCCGCCTCAACAAACTCATCAGACCCCTTTGGCTCTCCGCCTTCGTCTCGCAACGGTGGCGTCACGGTTGGTCCTCAGACATACCGTCCAAAGTCCTTCTCCCAGAACGCCGTCGCGAGCCGCGCCGACGCGCTGAGCCAGCTCGAGGGCAACCCGAATCCGCAAAACGCACCCTCCTACAGCACCTACCAACCCCGTGGCACCGGTCACGGCGTCGCCCCCTCCGAGGCCTACTCGGACGAGGCCACCAGCCCCGTCAGCCCCGTCGACCGCGGCAACGCCGGTATCAGCAGCGAGAACTACAACGGAATCGACGTCCGCGTTCCCATCCGGGCCTCGCCCGTCGTCAACCGCCAGCTCAACAAGGTCCGCAACGTCACCGGCGCTGGTCCCGCCCAGCAACCCACGACCGGCGGCGGCGTTCGTTCCTTCAGCGGTAGCTTGCAGATGCCCAAGAACGGCAAGGGAACGTACTCTACCGTGCCACAGGGCTCACCTGGCGGGGATTTCACTGATCCCTTTGCTACGCCTGTGACTACCCCTGGTGCCGACCAGGCGCTGCTTCCTTCCCAGCAGCAGCAGCAGGGAAACCACGTCAAGTTTGCGAATGTTGAGTACATTTCTAGCCAGCGCTACACCAGCGACGGCAGCAGTGGGAGCAGCGGCAGCAGCAGCAGCAACAACCACAACTGAACCCTCAATGAGGCTTAAGTAGTGCAGTAGGTGGTCGACGTACATCAGCATTGGATGGTAAAGCGAGTTTTTTTTTGCTTCCTTCTTTAACTATCGCGAGTCATCTCACAAACTTGGAGAGTAATAACAAGACACATGTATGAATAACAATGGGAAATATGTCGAATATGGACAGCGGGAATGGAAACTAGGTTCCGTGGTCACTACCAAAAGAGATGGCACACGAGGGGAAGGCGTTTTAGGCATGTAAAAAACTCATTGGGAACACATCAGACGATGGGACTTTGCAAACTCCTTCGTCGACCCTCCTTCTCCAGTATGAGAGAACGGCGGGGTAGACTATCATTAAAAGGACGATATCCATCCATAGAACAGAACAATCAGAAGAAAAACAATTTATAATAAATCCTGACCAATCATCCGAGGTGAAGCAAGATACACGGAGTAAGATTGATGGTGATGATTCAGAAGAACAACCAATATTGTGCAATGCAATCATTCGATAGGGCCGCTCGGCTCGCAACTCTGCGCTCCGGACTTCGGCGTGGCTCCGCGCACGTCGGCACCGGCGCCGGTTATGCGAGCGCAGAATAACCCCGCCCCATTCGACCTCCCCTCATCCAACCCCCATGGAGGCAATCCTCCACCCCCCACATATTTGGACATGACGTGCGTGATGAATGGAGAGGAGGGACGATCCGTATCGGCAGCCAAAAGGAGTTAACCGCAAATGATTCTCCCTCTTGCAGTGATTGTGCTGTCTTTTGCTTCCTTTCACCTCTCGTTGTGATTTATTACTTTTCGGGAGAAGTATCCCGCAGCTGCATTTTGGTATTACGAATTTTCTGCGAATACCAGCTCTCATCGACGAAACGGAAGCGGTCAACACACAGTTTGAACTGACTTTATCGACGGCATAACCACATCATCATTTTCCCACCTGGTGGTATAGAAAGACAGGCCCAATCCTCTAGTCTATTCAACCTCGAAAGACGGAACCAGGATCTCAAAACATATCCAAGCACAGCAAGAGCAACTCAGAATAAAATTTACACAACAAAAACAATGTCACCAACAACCCTCCACCAAGGCGCCTCAAAAGGCTTCGCAGACGCGGCAACCTACGACGCCTACCGCCCTTCCTACCCACCCGAAGCCACTCAACGTTTCCTCGAGCACCTCCGCCTCGCCGACGTGCCGCACGCCAAGATCCTGGATTTGGCCGCGGGCACGGGGAAGATGACCGAGGTGCTGGCGGCGCGGCACGAAGGGTTCGAGATTGTGGCTGTGGAGCCGCATGAGGGGATGAGGGCGGAGCTGGAGAGGAAGGGGTTGAGGGGCGTCGATGTGAGGGATGGGTTTGCGGCTAGGTTGCCGTTGGGGGAGGAGTGGGGGGATGGTGCCGTCGTTGCGCAGGTGAGTCTTTCTTTTGTGTTTCTTTTGGGATGGGAGGTTGTTGGAGATTGGTTTTGGGATGTGTGAGATGAGCTCCAGTGATGAGGATGAGATGGTGGGCTTGGATTGAAAATTGATGGCTGACTTGCGTTCTACGTAGGCCTTTCACTGGTAAGATGGTCCATCTTATGGATTCGGAATGTAAACATCAGCTTATGAAAGTGTAGGTTCGCAACGGCAGAGTCCCTCAAGGAGATTCACCGCGTCCTGAAGCCGACCGCCGTGCTCGGTTTCATCTGGAACATTGAGGATTGTAAGTCTTCACTCATACTATAGAGAGACCTTAGACGTCACCAAGGAAACAGAAAAAGAAAACAATCATTGCTAACGAAGCCCACACGATAAAGACAACAAGCCAAAGCACTGGAAAGCAAGCACCCCCTGGGAACAATCCCTCAACGAGCTCGTCTTCACCCTCGGCGGCGACGGCCAGCCGCGCTTCCGCGACTTCGTCTGGAAGGACATCTTTGACAGCCAGCTCGACGCCAACCCGCTGCGCGCCGTCAAGGACGTCGTCCTCGAGGGCGGGCGCAAGATGCCATTGTTTAGCGTGCCCGTGGGCGAGGAGAAGGTGCCGTTTACCGTCTGGCTGACGCCCGAGGCGGTGTGGAACCGGTTGAGGACGCTGAGCCAGGTCGCGGTGCTAGAGGGCGCAAGGGCGGCGGCGTTCAAGGCCGAGTTTGATGCCATTCTGGCTGGGGAGAGTGTGGAGAGAAACGAGAAGGGGGAGGTTGCGTTGCATGGGGTTACGTATTTTGCGTGGACTTCGAGGTTGTAGGCATGGGTGGGAGTCTAGGAGTCTGCGTTGTTGGTGAGGTGTGTTTTGCTTTCACGTTTGGCTGGACGGGGGATTCGTAAAGCAGCATTCGTTTAGTTGGTAGAATTGAGGGTATATTTTCTCTGCATTGGTAGATTTGGTAAAGGGCATCCTCTGAGCACTCTAGACTCGTTCATAGACATCTTCGCCAGGGAATAAAGTCCAGTCACCGAACCCTTGTTGACATCTTCATCCGCACCTCCTAAGAGTCTGCCGAGATGTACATGACTACGCTATCTGTCAGTGGGGATGATCTGGAAATGTAATGGAGTAAGGATTACCGTTGTTTCCTCTCACAAATGCGTCGCCGTATGGCCGCCTCTTGGTGCCGTTGACGTACTCCTCCGTCTTCTCCAGCGCGATGTTCATGTAGCCATCGACGGACTGAAGCTCGCCTGCAGTGAGATGTTAGAAGATTCTCACTACACGCCGCATACACTCTCGCCTCATCTCATTCGCATGCATGACGACCCAGGCACTCACCCTTGTAGACGACGCCCGAGTTAAGCTTCACGGTGACGGGGTTGCCGATGATATCGCTGAGGAAGCTGGAGGGGTCCTTGCCCTCGCCCTGGCTGATGTTTCCGTTCTCCATTGTCGTTGTCTGGCTATTGTGAGATGGAGGTGAGTTTACTGGAGGGTGCCTCGGGATGTAGGTTGTTCCGTGGCGGGTTGACGTGAGGGTGGTGATTGAGGCTGCGGGACGTCAAAGTGGTGATGATGTTGGCAGAATTGCTGGCAGCTGGCGACGATGGCGTTGACGGCTGGGCGAGTTTTGCGCAGGGTACGCCATCCTGTTAGAGCATCGAATGCTTGGGGTACCTGGATCGCACCTGGCGTTAGCTTTTTCCAGGGTAGCTCGCACTGTAGGGCTACCCAAGCAGCGCACACTCCGCGCTGAGCAGCGTGCAAAGGCGAACTCCATCCCCCTCCAGGTTTCCCCTGGGCCCTGGTGAGGTGGGGCCAGCCGAATCAATCTTTTGCTCTCTCACCACGGAAACAACGGCCGCCCCCCCAAATCCCAACCCAAATATTTGGTGGTGGTGCGCGAGCCAGGACGCCTCTTCTCCCCCCCCCCCCCCTCCCCTTCTTCTGTCGCATGGTTCGTGATGTTTCTACCTGCTGCCTTCTCTACTAGGCCCAGCCTCTGGCGCCTTCTCTGCATGGCCTGACCTTTTTTCTCGTCCCAAAAGTTCACTTACAAAACATCATCACCTCATAAAGTTGCTCCCGAAATCACATCATCCAAACTACTGCGCCTTCCACCCTGCAAATCGCACCGAATCGCATAACGAATCCCGAGTCAAATTTTGCTCTGCCACTGGGTGTATTCAGAAGAAACGTCCACTTGTGAGCCATGGCAGACGCAGCGAAGCCCAAGAGGCGCCTCCCCTTCAAGCCCACCGCTTTGCGACAAAAGTCCGATCCGAAGCCTGCGCCGCAGGAGAATGACGACGAAGAAGACGACGACGACGATGGACTTAGCCTGTTCAAACGCTCCGCCGAGTTTTTTCCCGTCGCAGTTGCCGAGCAGGAGCGGCGTATGAAGCGGAAGCAGGCGGAGCGAGAGAAGAGCTCACAAGCGCGCTCACCAGAGCGCGAGACACAGCCTGCGCCAAGAGCCAGCGAGGAGCCTGGCAAGGACGACGTTGAAGAGGACACAAAGTACGCTTTTCAACGTGTTGTTTGCACCACTGCCTCTGGATTTCTTCTGACATAATTCTTAATTATAGGGAAATCGGCACGCCGCCATCAAAACGCTCGCGAACCAGCGATGAATCCCCGCAATCGAGAACAAAGCAGTCGCCGTATAAGCGCCGCGAAGGCACAGAGACACCCTCGAAGCGCTTAACCCGTGCCGCCGCCTCGCGGACACCTCGGAAACAGCAGGTGATACCCCACAATCCCGTCATCGCGATCGAAGATAGTGACGAAGACCTCGATGACGTGGACGATGTGGCGAGCGACGATATCTACGAAGCTTCACCCGTGCGCAAGACGCAACGCCGGAGACAGACATCGGAGCCCGAGGCGTCGCCTCTCGTTATTGACTCGGACGACCCTTTTGTAGAAGGAATGGACGAAGACAAAAAGTCTCCAGTCGCAGTAGCGGTAGAGGAAGAAGAGGAAGACGATGAGTTTGAGGAATACGTCCGACGCGCCATGGAGCGTAAAAAGGCTCTCGAGCAGAACGAGAACCAGCTCGTCAACGTTTTCGTCACCTCGGATATACCAGACACCAGAGATCGGCAATTCCGCTTCACGCTTGTCAAGCCGCTCAAGGTGATCCGCATGAAGTGGATTGAAGTCCAGCTGGAACGTGTTCAGATGTCCCACTCGGAGCTGGAAAGCGTGTTCCTTACATGGCGTGGCCACGAGTTGTACGATACTACGACGTTGCATAGTCTCGACCTGGAAGCCACATTCCGCAAATACGGCGGCGGCGACGGCGGAGGAGACTTGTCCGAGGGCTTCAAAGACGACGACTGGACAAACGTCCATCTGCAGATGTGGACGCGCGAGTTGTGGGAAGAACACGAGAGGCAAGAGGCGCGGAGGAGGCGACACGATCTCGGAGACTACTCTGACGACGAAGGCGAAGCTCAGGGCGATGGTGCGGATGCCATCGAGCCGGAGACGGAGCAGAAGATCAAGGTCCTGCTCAAGACCAAGACGGATGAGCCGCTCAAGACTTCGGTGAGGCCATCGACCACGATCGGAACGCTTATGGAGCTGTTTCGGAAAATGCGCGGGTTGGCCGCGGATGCGCCCATCACGCTCATGTTTGATGGTGACGAGCTCGAGGAGGAGATGACGGTTGAGGAGGCTGATATTGGCGACATGGAGACGATTGAGGTCTACATAAGATGATGACCCCCTCTGTCGAAATGGTCGAGGTCGGATAGGCTGTTCAAGCCAGTCTTTGCTCGTCGCAAACCTGGTGCCGCTGCCTGAAACGGCAGTGACGGAAGCCTGGAAAGCTGGTGAAAAGGGGCAACGACAAGGTCTCGAGGAAGGATTTAATTCAAGATACCCGGGGGAGTTTTAAGTGTCTTTTCTCATGGGAGGTAGCGTTAGCATGGAAACTTGAAAAAAAGCTCTTTCGACCTCTCAAGTTGATTTTGCCGCGCCGGAGTGGGGACTAACTTACCCCTATTGTCTCTGGCTGCCCCTTGATGGGTTTATGCGCCTCACTTGCATCGCCAACTCATCGCTATAAGGCTTTAGGGGCATTTATTGTGAAAGGCAGAGTCGCTGCTCATATCATTCTGTGGTTCTGTTGATTCATCGTTACTCATTAAAGCCAGCCCTTTCCTCCGTGTTTCCGATAGACCAAAACATCCCGAACAGTATTGAGAAAAAACTCACAACCACCACACCAAGAACCTCAAATCGGCAAAGACCTCTGCAACCCAATCCTCACCCACCCTCCCCTCCTTCGAATCCCTCATCTCCCATAGAAACCCAGGACACGCCTCACCCCTTCACTCATGCTTCTCCCCGCAGCCAGGACACTTGTCCAAACTCTCATCCTGCGGAAAACTCCACGTCTGCCCGGCGCTGAGATTCCTCGTCCTCGCCGCGAAATCGTCCTTGTCATCCCTATTCGCTGCTGCTGCCGCCGCATCCTCGGGGTCCGCGTACTCATCCTGTCGCGCCGTGATGCTAAAGTACCGACTGGCGTTATACTTCTCCCCCAAACGCTTCGCGACGTCGTTGGCCTCGTTTAGGGAGACGAGGCGCCGCTTGTCCGGGTTCTGCTCCTGTATGGCGCGGACGGCGCGCCACGTCTTTTGTTTGTTAGTGAGACGGGCACCGTTCGTATCCTTGTCATTATTATTGTTGTTGTCTTCGCCGTCCTTCTTGACAAAGGACTCGACGGGCCGGCTGACGATGGTTGACGGGTCTTGGTTGCTCTGGAACAAGGTAATCGGGCTCGGCGCGAGGAACTTTTCGCCCGTGACGTTCTCGCGCGCGATTTCGGCGGGGGTGCGACCGACTGCGTTTTCGCGGTGGAGGAGCTTCGGTCTGTACTCCAGCAACGCCGTCGCCAAAAGGTCGTCGTTGGCCATGACGACGGTGTGGAGGGGCGTGTCGCCCGCGCCGTTGAGCATCTCGAGCTCGGCATTGTCGCCGCCGCCGCTGCCGCTCGAAAATTCCAGGAGGCGGGCGAGCACGGCGAGGATCTGGCGGTCGTCTGTGTAGTTCTTGCTGGCGACCGGGTTATAGTGGTACGTCGTCCGGCGCGAGTTGCAGACAGCTGTGATCCAGGCGTGGAGCGGCGTCGTGCCGTTGTTCTCGGAGAGGTTGTTGCGTTGCTGGGCGAGGTGGGGGCGGAGGCCTGCGTCGACGAGGTCGAGGACGGGGGAGAGGCGGCAGGCGCGGGGCATCCCTTGCAAGGCGGCGTGCAGGATGTTGTCGCCGGCGTTGTTGCGGGCCATTTGGTTTGCGCCGGCGGCGATGAGGGTGCGGGCGAAGTCGAGGCGGCCAAAGTGGAAGGCGAGCCAGAGGGGCGTGTCGCCGAGGGTGGACTTGTAGTCGAGGGAGGCTGGGCAGGCTTGGGCTAGGTATTTGATGACTTGGTTTGTGAGTTCTGTTGGGGGGCCCATGACGGCGCAGTGGATTACGAGTTCATCTGGATATTTGTGTTAGATGGCATTGGGAAAGGGGAAGATAAAAAAAGGGGTAAACTCACTCTGAATGCCTAGCCACTTGGAAATGGCTCTGTCGAAGCCGCCCGGTGCTTGGCTGAGATGCTTCAGTCTAGAATCCTCGCGAGCCGCCTTGGACTTGCCAAAGCCCACGTAGTGACGATGAGGTGCGTCGCCGAGGAACCACTCGACGCCATCAATGTTGCCGGCCATGGCGGCATGGAGCAGGGGCGGCGTCTTGACGCCGGTGGAGCGGACCACCATGTTCCTGCCGGCCGTGGCCCAATCCTTTCTGTTACGGGGAGTCAGCAAGATGCTGGTGATACGTCAGTTAAGTGTGAGTCTTCCTGCTTACCTCTTCCTGCCGTAGACCGTCAGACCTAGGTAGTACTTGGACTTGCGCTTCATCTCGACGCCGCTCTTCTTAACGAGGTCGTCGAGCGGGATGCCTGCACCAGTACGGCTGATAATCTCCGCAAGAGCCGCCGTCTTGCCGTGCTTGACGGCCCAGAGGAAGTCACCCTCGGGGAACTCGAAGCGGCCACTCCTACCGTCCTCCTCGTCCTGAGTGGCGCCGGTTCCGCTGACGAGCTTCTGGCTCGCAAAGTGGATCGCCATATCCAGAAGAGTCTTGAGCCCCGCAAGGTCGTCGTGCTGCAGGACGAACTGGAAGAGCGTCTGGCTCGAGTTCTTGCAGCTGCGCGCCTTACCCTCCACGGGCTTGAAGGTGTGCGTTTTTTGGCCCAAAAAGTCGACCGGCTTGGTCGTGGATTTGACCTGCATCGACACCTGGCCAATGTTCTCAATGGTGAACTTCTTGTCGACGATCTCGGAGATGATCTTGGGGTCGTCGTTGGACGCTGCGTCGCTCTCGTAGTCCTCGTCGTCTTCGTCTTCGGGACCGCCCGTGTCCAGCTTGTACCGCATTGCATCCCGATCTTCCGGTGCATACTGGGCCATGACAATCTCTAGGATCGCGTGAGCCACATCGTGGTGGCCGCGGAGGTAGGCTAGTGAGAAAGGGGTGTTGTCCTTGCTATCGTTCACTGCCATCTTCAGAGGAGGCTCCCCATGGTCCTTGCCCCAGGCTTGGAGGGTGAGAGACTTGATCTTTTCCAAGTCGCCGGACCAAGCAGCCTCGAACCTAAGCGGGCGTCAGTAATACATCATCAGACCATAAATGTCGCCTTGCACTTACAGCTCCAGGTACGCAGCCTTCCTGACTTCCGTGACATCAGTAACATTACGGAACGAGAAACCATAGCTGTAGTTGTTGTAAAACTTCTTCTGACCTTCCCAAGGCCTGTTGTGCGGGACGGCGGTATTGTCCGGGAACTTGATGTCGGGATGGATTTCCGCAAAGGTCTTGCCGCCCTTATCGATGATGGCCTTCTCCAGCTTTTCAAGCGACGTAATAACCCCCTTGATGGCCTCAACCTTCTCAGGAAAGCCCTTGAGCTCCTCGTGATCCTTCTTCGCCTTCTCGTAACTCTCTTCTGCTCTCTTGTGGTTGACCCTGCGCCAGTAAATGTTCTCGGATATCTGCCAGTGCTGGTAGGTATCTTCTGGGTATCTCGCGAGGAATTCGTCCATTCCGGCCGACAGCTTGGGCTTCACCTGCGTGAACTCGTCGCGCTTGAAGTCGCGGAGCTTCTTGAGCTGCTGCTGCACGAGGTCGAGGGCCGTCTCGCCCTTGTTATACGCGCGCTGGTAATCGTTCTCGATGGCGCGGTACGAGTTGGTCGTCATCGTGTTGGGATCCGCTCCCTTCTCGATAAGCCTCAGCGCAACATCCGGATCGGTGCAGTTCTTGATTGCCACAATCAACGGCTGGTCGGTATTTTCGTTGAATTGCTTCTTGTTGTCCTCGTAGGAACCAAGTCTGTTATTCGACTTGGAGAACTTGGCAGCCTTCAGCCAAACATCAAAATCGATTTGCGGGTTGGCGCCGGCCTCGAGCAACTTGAGCACAAAGACGGAGTCGCCGTTCTCGATGGCTGTGTGGATGGGCGCGATGGCCACCGGGTTCCAGTAGCTGGCGGCAAAGACCATGTGGTTCAGCGCCGTCTTGAGTCCCACCTTATCGTTCTCCCACAGGGTGTCAATCATCTCCTGGTTGCCGTTCTTGACGTAGCGGTGGAATGCCGTGCATCCGTTCATGTCTGCCTGGGACGAGGTGGCGCCGAGCTTCATCAAGAGGAGAGCCATCGACTTGGCCTTCTCAATGGGTAGATTGAGAGCGAGGGAGAGCGTCAAAATGGCCGCGGTGGGTTGCTTGTCGGAGTTGAGGAACTTGACGGGAAGGATGGCGTCGCTGCCATAGTCACAGAGAAGCCTGACGGCATCTTCGTTTCCTTCGGAGATGGCAAGGTGCAGAGGCGAGCAGGGCAGATCCCAGGCCAAGACGTCAGTCTTGAAGAAGTCGGGCTCGTCGGTCGAGTCGTCCTCCAGAACCAGGTCTTCCTTGCTCTTGTCATTCTCGTCCTTGACATTAACGAAAGAGCCAGTTGCCATAGATGTAGCGTCTGCCTCGGTGTTGCCCGCGTCCACCATCTCAATGTCATCGTCATCGTCGGACTCGCCGTCCGTTTCGGCATCCATCTCTTCGTCGTCCTGCGCTTTAGACGTCTTTGAATCGGGCTGGTCCTGAAGTCGAGTCTGTATCGCTTTGCGGCGGCGATCGGCTTTTCCTTCCTCCTCTTCTTCATTGGTAATGCTCTTGTCCATCAAAATTTTGATCATGTCAGCGTTGCCGCGCTCGGCCGCAAGATGCAGAGCCGTTCTGCCATCAGCAAGGCGAGCAGTGAGACGTGAGCCATGCTCGACCAAACAACGGACGACCTCGGGCGTGGAGCTGATGACGGCGAGGTGGAGAGGTGTGCGTCCCGTGTAGTCGCGCTTGTTCGGATCGGCGCCCTCTTGGGAAAGCCAGTCTCTGACTTCCTCGACGTCGCCGTCAACAATACTCTGGCAGAGACGAGCCGTGTTTCCGACATAGGCCATATCGGTCCAGTCGTTCTCCGTCAGCGGGTTGAAAGAGCCAATCTGCTGCCGACCCGGATCGTCAATCAAGAAGGTGACCTTGCCTGAGATGTAAATCTCCGCCTCTTTCTCTGCGACTTCGACTTCTTCCGGTGTCACCGCCTTTGGGCAGCCGCCGCAGCAGTCCTCGATGACGTCTTCGACACGTCCGAAGAAGGCGGGATGGCGGTGAAGATACACCTCCCGCTCGTCGGGCTGATTCCACTCGGCGTTGAGCACTGCCTGCTTGTCAGTAGACTGCTTGCATCCAGATCGTACTGTGACTTACACAGATCTCTTGTGTAGCAGAGCTTTTCAATCTTCTTTGCGTGGAACCTGCTTGAAGTCAGCCTCTACACTCTACGGGCGATGGGAAGTTTAGGACATACCCGTGACCATAGGGTACGGTGAAAGTGTGGTAGTTGGACACATCATTCTCGTCAACCCAGTCGGCAACCTCGTCCTCAAAGTTGTCCTTGATGTTGCCATGCAGATGATGGGGGTTGAATCGGTTCGTCGTGGG